CTTGGGCTCCTTCGTCGGTGGGTAGTATGTACCCTTCACCGAAATGCCAACTTCCGCATATTCTTGAACCTGAGACAGTGTCTCTCTACTGGTGATACGCCAACGGACCTGTTGCGGGAAGTCGTTGATTTCCAACTCCTCTTCGTAACGAGAATACTCTTGTTGTTCTTCCTGAGGAGGCAGTTCAGACGGAACATAATTCAGCTTCTCATTCAACTTTTCGGCGAGCTGTTGTGCAATAGTTTTCGCTGATACGCTTACAGGACCCGCGGCACCACCCTTAAGAACTGCTTCAGCCGTCTGTTGAGCAATATCTTTCGCGCCTAAGCCAAGGTTCCGTTCGATGTTGATCTGCTTCGCCAGAGCCTTAGCACGTTCTAATGCCTGTTGGTTGGCTTGTGCCACGCCTGCGGCAGTCACGGTACCGTTCGACATGAAAAGTGGTAAAGCACCCTCAGTCACTCTTCGCGTGGATTTCATTAGGCTCTGAATCTGCTGCTCGATATCATCATCGTCATCGTCATCAGATCCCTGTAACAAAAAATAACTAAAATATTTGAAAAACACGTTTTTTTAAACAATGAATAACAATGCTGCCTACAGACTCAGCACTGTGACATACCGAGAGCGAACGATTTAAAGGAATCAAAACTGCTTTGTAGAAGTAAACCAAAGGTCGACAGAAACCTCTCAGGTATTTTCAGCAAGAAAATACGAGAAAAAATTTATTAAAACGGAAAGAAAACATTTTTTCGGTTAGCTTGAACGAAAATGTGGGAGATTTTAAACTAATGACCAGATATGATGATGAAGCAACAGCAACAACGCAGTTTTATAATCCATCCGAAAGGTCACTCTTTATAAGAAAAACGAATCGTCTCTGAATACATTCAAATAGAGTACTTGCTGTACATGTTTCATTTTCGTCACACAAGACCGAAAGGTATATCCGGCAAAAAATGAAACAAAATGCCACTATGACATCTTATTTTGACTTTTTACCATGACTTCAAGATGAAACTTCTGAGATGATTTTCGTGAATCTTAGCTTGCAACGAAGTAAACGTTCTATTCAAAGGGATCTATGAAGCTTCTCTACATTCCCATACCAGTTTCAGAACGAAATTGAACAAACCGTTTTGCAGCATTGGTTTCACATGTCAAAATAAAGCCTGCTTGCATTCAACTTTTAGGGATACCTCGTTGTATCTTCTCTGACGGTGTTTCAGATGAATGATACTTCTTAATGATACCATCCTTTTCACCTGATCGTTGTCGTGTCTACAAGCTCACTTGATGCTGGGACCTGAATTCTTTTCCTTGCAGATTACGGAAAACTGTAGGTCAGTCAAAACTGGGTTAGTAATTCACAATTATAATGATTCTAGCCACGCGCAACGATATAGTGAAATTAAAGTAAGAACCACTATATTAAAGAATCTTACCTGGAGGCCGAGTACCAGCTTTTCCATTTTTCTTTTGGACGCTACTGCCTCCGCCTCTGCTTCATCGAACTTATATCCATGACCACCATAGCCACCTCCTTGCTTCACTTCCTTGCCTTCAGCTGCCATTTTCTTCTTATAGACTTCCCACATTGACATAAGTTCATCTGGAACTTCACTGCCTGAAAGTTCTAGAGCTTTTACAAGGTCTCCGGAATTTCTTTCCTGTCCAGTGGGCGTAATGAAAGTGTACGCATATCCCTTGTTTCCGGCCCTGCCGGTTCGACCAACGCGGTGGACGTAGTCTTCGTAATGATTCGGGCAATCGTAGTTAACAACGAGAATCATATTCTTCACATCAAGACCTCTTGCAGCGACCGATGTAGCAATGAGCAGCCGGATGACGCCGCTTCTGAAATCGACTATCGTAGAATCACGGTCGAACTGATCTAAGCCTCCGTGGATGGGTGCTGCCGGGTAGCCGGCTTTAATCAAGTCACCAACCAATTCGTCCGCTTTCTCCTGTTTGTCAACGAACACTAGGATGTTGCCTAATTCGTAGTAAACACCAAGTAATTCCAACAACTTTAGAAATTTCTGGTCATCGTCAACAATGCACACGTGTTGCTCGACCTCTTTGCAGACGACGCTGCGACTACCAACAATAATTTCGATAGGTTTTTGCAGCACCTTTCTTGCAAGAGCCTCCATCTGGCGAGGAAATGTCGCCGAAAACATGACCGTCTGCCTGTCCGGCCTAATATTTCCTACTATTTTCATCACCTATAAAAGTAATTAGAAAGTTGGCAAACATAGTAATGGAATCGCACTATTTTTATGG